GTTAAAGTGCCTGGAAATGGTCTGGCTGGACAGAGAGGATAGCAAACGGTTGAAACGACAGTATGGGAATTATTTCCGGCTTATTGAGAAAGGTCGCAAATATTCACACTTCAAACTTGTGGAGGTCCTTTATATTTTGATGACGCATATCGACTTCACACTGATGCCCTCACCTGACAATCGATCTCGGGATTGTATTATGGGTAAATATTCGCTTACCAAGGCTGAAGCCGAACTGATTCGACCCGTTGGAAGGAATAGCGATCTCATTGTCCTGAGGAAAATCCTGGAACAGCAAGCTAATCCCCCAGTTTCACGGAAAATAGTGAGCGTCTTCTTAGCCGCTGACCCTAAATATGGCCTAACGGACAGCATCTGCAAGGTTCTCGAGGAAGGCTTACGGGCTTCTCCAGCCTACCTCTGTGTTCCTTTCCTTGAAGCTACTCTAGTTTTCTGCCAAATGTCCACGGATGGCAATCAGATAACAAACCTCATCGACTACGTGTCCAAAGGCGTAGACTCCATCAATGACAGTGGGGGTCGTGAACATCTGGCCTTCTTCCAGTCGCTGGTGAAAGTCAAAAACGAAAAGGCTGACAAGGATGAATATTGGTTCTGGAGCTCCGTGGTCGACCGGATACCGGATTGGGCGCCGACACTGCTTCAATACCCGGAGAGGGCAGTTAGGAATGGGACGCTGGATTTCCTGCGGCAACTCCTTTTCTCGAAGGAGTATGAGAATATCACCGACGATTTCCGCCAGTTTTACAAGAAAATTGGCAGGGATTTAGCGCAGACCTGCGTGGACAAGTTGCGCAGGACTTATCTTACGCCAGCGGACGCGCAGCCTCCTGAAGTTAAGGCGATGGAGACAATTGCACTTGTGATTATGCATTGTATTGAGGTCTATTTTGATGAGAGTGACAACGCAGATGCGGAGTTTATTCAGCAGGCTACAGGTATGGCAGAACCAGATCTACTTTTTATCTTTCTTTATGAATAATCCCGCTAACTTCCTTGCTAGCTGTCATCTCTGCACTAGAACAAATGGCCGTGGATATCCCGGAAGAACTGATGTCTGGTAAGCAGCCACATATCCGTTTCCTCCTTGTTTTCTTTTGCTTCTAACCACCACCCCGTTTTTCCCTTTTCAGGTTCTGACTTCGCTTCAGATGGCTGGGAAGATAATTCGATGATGGGGAGCGATTCCGATGTTGGTCTGACCGGGTCGCCGTGAACTAAAACTCTGGCGCGCATGATATGGCGTCCAACGTGCAGTTGGTGTTAAAAGGGGAGTCCTTTTTTACTTTTTGAAAGATAGTATAAATCTCGTTTTATTTTGTTATCCCTATTTCTTTTTGCTGAAGTGTTTCTTATTTTCATTTTACGGTACCAATTTTTTTTTCTCTCTTCCTGTCTTGTGTTGATGATGATTGAATGACCATTCCCTCATCCATCCCATATCCCATTCCCCCTTTTCTGCATTTATCTGGCGTTAAACTTTTCTGTTTTCTGTATTTAGAGGCAAAATGGGGCCAGTGTATTTAAATGTGGGGGGTCTTTTTTTCTTCACAAGGAAATCTTGGTCTTTCATGTCTAGGGAACCCTTGGTCCTTTTCTGTCTTTCTTTTTAGCATCATACAAGTGAATGGTTAGGAGAGTGAGGGGTATGTCCTTGTGTTTCTCCCACTTCACTTCCTCATGGAAGTTTACATTTGAAAGAATGAAAGAATGTGGTGAAATCATCTCTCTCCGTCGGTTCCTTTGACTCGGGTTTACGGACTTTGGGACTTTGTGGTTATTCTTTCTTCTTTCTTCCGAGGTTTTTTTTTTTTTTTTTTTTTTTTTTTTTTTTTTTTTTTTTCCCTCCCTCCGTTTCCTCCGTTTTCTCTTTCAGATGTATATGGTTTGAACGGATGTCTTGTTCTTTTCCATTGTATGAGCTCTATTTTGTTCTTCAACCTTCTTTTTGTTTGATATTTTGGAGCCCGTCATTGACTACGGATGATGAGATTAAGCCGACAGACAACTTACTGTACCTGTAAGAGCCGATGGAATGGATGTTTCTATAGTTATCTTGCAATCTGCAGCTCGCTCCCTCTTTTCAGTTCAGGTCCTTGGCCTCCCTCACCTTTTTTGTGTGTGTGTTTGTGTGTGTGTGTTGCGCTTCAAGGCGTTAATTATGACCATGTTTCATATGTTTGTGTTAGTTACTATTAGTTACCACAGAAAATATGTATGTAAAATTACTTCTACGGAGTCATTTATTGAAAGAAACTTTCTCTAGAGATTCCACAACTGCTCCCTCACTGAATTCTCTCCGGATGATACATATTTTGATATAGCTCCCAACATATGTATATATATATACATATATATTTCTTCTTTTTGCACCTGGCAACTTTGAGCTCTAGTTTTATCCAGTCAATTCACTAATCAGGACAACATGGAACAGATAGCAAGAGAGGTATCAAAGTCTTGCTCTGGCCATCTTTTCTGGAAAATCCCTCAGTCTAGTCATCCGCTGTTAGGAAAACTCACGCATCAACGCGGTGTTGTTTGGCTGATGCATGCTTTGCTTCGTACACTCTGGTATATGAGGAACGGTTTGCAAGTGCCGACAGTCGATACTGAGAAGTTCTATCTTGCATCATTGGGTGCCATCCACTCGAAGCTATGGAGGGTGTGTCAGAGAAGAATCATTCCGGTGGTATATCTTCGTATTTATCAAGAGAATAACAATATAGTAAAACAGATAAAGTCATATCGACCCATATGGCTACAAAATAAGGAAAGGAAATACATATAAAACCAAGCCTGCAAAAGTAAGATGACCAACCTAATGGTGTCACTAGCACGGATAACAGGAAAAAAAAAAAGCACTTGAACCGCCGTGCATCCTGCTTGTCTATCGTCTATTGTTTATTTTGCTATTTCTTGTCTCCACCGATCCCAATATTACTAGGATCCCTCACCGTCATCACGCCAAGTGATTCCAGATTAAGATTGTTATGCGTAGTTTTGGGAAACGTTATATGTCGTCGTAACGTGAATCTCAGCCGGCTCTCTGTCGTCCCTGTCGAGGGTCTCAATGCTGCCCGCCGAGATCACATAGTCATTGTTCTTTGAATTCGGATCAAAGCTCTGCACGATCCGCTCTTCGCTATTATCGTCCATTGTTGTCAGGCCCATCTCAATCCGGATCCGGTTCTGCTTTTCTTTCCTCTGAATCCGGGTGAGTTCGTGAGTACCGGTGGTTGTGGTCTTGGCGCTTCGGCCCGTTGATGTCGTCGCCAGGCGGACGGTTTTGGTGAATAGAGGTTTTAGGACGGGGACATTGACTGCAATTATGGCGACAAACTATATTTACGACAAACGCGTTAAGAGTTATGTTTCTTTTCCACCAAACGGTTCAACCGCGTGACCTTGGAAGTGTTATCTTACAGTTTCTCGAATTGACCAGATAGTTCCAAGGTTGATTGACGCGACGTCCTGTAGGCAAATAATGCAGCGCAGGAGAGTAGCTATGACGATAAAAACCCCAGAGCAAAGCCACGCCCCGAACAGAAGTTTTCTATCATTAGGACGTGAGCCGCTGTTTGTGCATATGTAGAGCGGACAGGTCTGCATTCATACCGTCGTAATGGAAGCTTTACTTTCCACAGTAATGGAAGGGGAATGTAAATAATCATGATATCAGTCCTTCGATAATCAGCAAAAGTCCAAGGAGGGGAAATTTTCGGAGGGTGGACATACGTCACATTGGTCGTAACCAAGGCCAGGTAATTGGGGATGTTTAGTGCACAAGCATCTTGCCGCATGCATTAGTTCTCTTTTCTAAACAGCGATTTGGTTCAGCAGACTTACCACCAGGATATGGATAAATCTGCCAGACCTTCTGAATTGGATAACATCGGGTTAGAATGACAATAATTGTCGCGATGTAGGCCAAAACGCAGGTAACGGCAGTTATTGTAACTGCACGTTGCTGGCGAAGGTTCAGGCTGAAAGCACAGCAAGGTCAATAACCAGACGTGAGATATTTGAAAGCAGAATAAAGACTGACGTGAGCCTGTTAAAGAGGAATAGCATGCACGCCTTGAGGCACCAGATCAGCGTGACATATAGACACCAGCCTGCAAGCAGACATTTGGTGCCAATAACCATCCGTCGTTTCTGTTCCTCTGTAAGCTTGAGGGCGATTTCGTCATTAATTCCAGTCGTTGAGCCATATATTGACCTGGGGAAACGTATTAGAAATGATAATTCGGCAGGTCACTGTATAATGCTTTCTTTTACCGATTAATTCGAGCATGCACAACTCAGCCTAATGTTCGCGTCAATTCTCTGGTCAAAAATAAAATAAAAATAAAATAAGACGCGAACCAGGGAAGCTGTCATCATACCGTCCAAAAGAGAACTGCGAGAACAGCGAAGTAGTCATCTCCATCCCATTCTCGACCAATAAGCCTGCATCGGTAGATTATTCTGATCAATAAAATAAGCAGCCCGATGCCATACTCGGTCCATGCTTCAGTCTGGAACGGTGTCGCCATCGTCAACGAAATTGAACGAACGGAGTGGAACCCTCACTGAGGAGGAGGGCCGCATATTATATATAGCTCGGAGTTCCGGTTGGGTACGCCAACATGTCCTCGGCGGGTAGCAGATCCTTTTACATAGAAAGTGAAATCCATTCCCTCAGGAATGGCTGGGCTGAGGGGAGTGGTGTGAAAGGGGGTTTTTAACGAAACCATTCCTGTTTGCCCCCACTGCCCACCAGCTTTTGCATATCAAGTAAGTAGTCTCCTTACAAAAATTATTATTCCTGTTAGCAAAATCCACCCTCTCCATCAAGTATAGGCTAATTTTTAGCGCAGCAACGGTCAACCTCTCCGGTCCGAGCCTCTTCCCGGTTTATGGAGCCGTTGTGGAAGAAACAAGGGGCCTTTCTCGTGAGACGGAGTAAGCTGACTTAGCTGAGTGGCTTGAATCGCAAACTCAAACCCCTTCAGGCGGACCCTGACAGGCCTATCACACCGAGAGGCTCTGAGGGAATCCCAAGCGGATGGCGACAGTCTTCCTAAATACCCATAGAACCATTGGCTCTGTCCACCAGAAGCGGGGATCTCTTTATTGTGCTCCAGAGGACCCCCCTATTAATACCAGACGCCCATCTTTTATTGGGCTGTAGTGACGTGAAAAATCGTGGAACACCAACAACTCGTGATTTTATCGAAGACTGCTTTCCATTATCTCACTCGAAGAGTTTACCCCGCACAAAGCACAAAATGCTCGAGTCTGCTATCCCTGAACATCTCCTGCAAGAGAGGACGAGGCCCGTTAACACGCCACCGAATTTTAATCCGCCCTTCCCAGCGTACTCTGCCCGGTTCCCAAAATGCACAAAGGACCTAGTTATGGCAGTCGTCGGTGCCCAGTACTCCACACCCACCGATGAAGACGGATTAGCAATGTCCACGGTGTCGGGATTTATCAACAATCCAACTGCTGCTGGGAAGAAGCCATCGTTTTGGGAGTCAGCATCCGTGACTGATAATCGGGGGGCATACAACATTGCTGTCCTTGCTTACTGGCCTGATAAGGGATCTTACACGGAATGGGCAACTACCAGCGGATTCCAGACCTGGTGGGATACGCTGGACCCTGAAACACAGCGCCACGGGTGGTTTCTAGAGGTATTTTTCCCGACAATTGATCGGTTCGAAACCGTCTTTTCAGACAACGAAGTCCCAGAGGGTGCGGCACATATGAGCGAAAGTGTCAGTGGTCCTCTCAGGGAACATGTGTTTTGGGGTAGCATGCGCGACCGTTTACCCATCGCACAAACGGATGAGCTCGTGGGTGAGAGCGGCAACACAGCGAACAAGCCCACGAACTCTGTTCTACGACGCCGTATCCGCGTGGGCGGCAAGCAAAACTTCGCAGTCATTCGCTCGGGTCAAGACTGGTCGAACACTCGCCCTGAGGAGCGAAAGTTGTATGTCGAAACCATGCATCCCGTCCTCACCAAAGGGATGGACTTTCTTCGCGACCATGGCGAAGATGTGGGGTGCTATAGCTGTCGGTTCATGGACATTGTCGATCCTGTCTCTCACAAAGCTGATAAGGAAAGGACTTTTGGCCTTGCTTTCTTTGACGACCTTAGCTCACTGGAAGGATGGAGCAAAAGCCATCAGACGCATATTAATATTTTTGGGGGCTTCTTGAAGTACGCGAAGTCGCTGGACAACAATATCAGCCTGCGTCTGTTCCACGAAGTATTGGTTCTAAAGCCGGAGCAACAATTGTTCGAATACCTTGGGTGCCATGAGAATTCTGGGATGCTGGTTTCTTTGGGCGCTACATAGTAACTAGTTAGAGTTTCACGATATCAACTCAGGAGTCAGTTGAAAGATGTAGGAGTAGTTTAAAGTTTATGTCTCGAGTTTCAAAATAATCATATTGTTCGCCCGCCTACCCACGTTATCAGCATGGAGATGTTTTTCTTTCTTTTCCAAAAGAGTTCATCAATATCTGACGCTGGAAATCTCGCTGTCCTGGTGGAAAGTCCGATCTTCAAACCACACTTTCCTGGGCTGGTGTGAGCAACAGTATCGAACACAGGCCAAACGGCCCCACGTTCAATCAATTTTGCCCATCCGCCGGGCCGGTTCCCGAGTTCCACGCGAGGCCAGAGGCGATGGAGCTACATACCGTCGCAAGCCGGTCGGCCTGGGAGTCCGATCCAGGATCATCAACGGCCCGCCGAGACGCTTTTGGCGAGAATTGCCTCGTATTATAATTTATCGGACTGGGATACGAAGCCAAGCATGGGCACCCCCGCCTTATGCTCCGCAGTCAAACACCGGAGCAAGCTATCGCTTCCGGGATCCCAAGAAGAATAATAATCCTTAAGTTGCCGAATGGGTTCTCTGCTCTGATAATAATGGTCAATGGTCAAGTGCGGGTGGAGCAAGCCGATCTGGGACATAAATAATCGAGCATGAACTCCCTAGCGGGCGAATATTCTAGTTTCCAACAGCTGCCACAAGGACAATAAAAAATAAAGTCCTCCCAATATTTCACGCATCGTGTTACTTTTCGACGAAAGTGGGGACATCTCCATCAGGGATCATCGCGATGCGCGCTGCTATTTACTTTTCTGGGGCGTATTATTCGCCTTCAAGTTTCACGCGGCTCTGGAACTCAGAATCCGCCGATCTTCAAAGTGTTTCTGAGCTGCAAATGTGCCCGAACCTGAGTTCAAACAATAATAAGGAAGCGTTCACTCAACAGAAGTTCTCCTTCTTTGCGAAACCCTTTCTTTTGCGTTATGCACAGCGTAATGCATGCATGCCAACTTTCAAGCGCGCCACTTTTCTCTGTTCTGTAGTTGTTTCCGAAAGGTGGCTGGCACATTGGTCATCTTTTAGGGCCAATTCTGTTTTAAAATTTGTGGATCGGCGGGATGGCGTTACGCAAAAGCTTGGCTGGGACCCTCAGAGGTTGGCAAAAGGATCAGGTCCAGAGCGGTAGTTGAATTTCCATTAATTAATATTATCACTGTCTGTCTACCTGTCTGCTGTGATCACTGTGATATCTTTGCTGGGCAAGAATGTTCGGAAAACAAACATCGTAGAGCAAGCAGCTTTTCGTTAAGGTTTAGGTGCGGTGCGCACCAATATCACCAAACTCACAAGTTGTTTTTTTGCCTGAAGGTTCAGAAATGGGATAGAAACTAGGGCCTATTCATTTTTGCTGAGATACTTCATTTAAAGATGGGGTCAAGAAGTCTGTCTCTCTTTGAGATCCGGCGGGCTTATATTCGTTTTCACCCCTAGGAAATTTGGTGAACATCACATCAACGAGCGTTGGAACCGAATGCATCGTCCAGGCGGATCCGAAAGGAATGGGCATGTGTCGAAGAGACGCACCGCGGTGCATCATAATTGCACAGAAGCGAGCGAAAATTTGGCAGAAAGAGAATTGGTTGAGATAAGAAACACGATACGCCTGTATTGTATGCTACAAAATTTCTTGAAGTAGGAAGGTAAAGTAACCTAGACGTCCTCGAACTCTTCGTCGTCCTCGTCTTCATCGGACTCGGCTTCTTTCTTCACTTCAGGTTCGAATTTAACTCTCTTGGCGGACGGGCCGTCTTCTGCAGACGTATCAGGGCGTGCAGTACCAGCCTGAGGACAGCTACTGGCTGAGTCCGATTCCAGTTCCCTTTTAAGTGATCCATTAGGGAATGTATGAGCTTTAATACCATCTACTGGGGCCGAGGTTGAGCCGCCAGGAGCAACTCCAACGTCCTCGAACTCGTCTTCTTCCTCGTCTGATGACTCCTCGGCAGAGCTCACATCTTCTTTAGCCTCCCTTTCCTTTTCGCGCGCCATTTCAGCGTAATATGCAGCAACCTTATCATCAAGAGCATCGATGTCTGGCTTCTGTTCCTCCTTTACTTCGGATTTGACAGCGAGTGCGTCAACAGCAGTTCCATTGGGCTCGGACTTGATTCGTAGATTGCCAGCTTCTGTTTTAACCGTTGATTGTGTATGCCAAACAGGAAGCGCGTTTTGCTTCTCGAGTGCAGCTTTTCGCGCTGCCTCTTCCGCTTGCTCAGCAGCACTCTTCTCAGCTGAGGAAGTAAGTGACACTTCTAAGGACGAAGCGTCTGTTTTCGATATCCCTCGAACAGCTGCCTGTCGGTTGCCCGTGTAGGCCACCCCTGGTCTTGTCGGGTTGGTATATTGATTTCGTATAACATCGACTTTGTGCTCCCAGGCTGTCTCAAAATCATTCTCGGGGACGTCGACAGAATCAATCTGTTTGAGCAGCTTTAACATCTTATCCAGCTGCGCCATTAGTTTGCTATTTTTCTCATGACCAGTCCGATCAGCGCCAGCCCCACCCTCGACCTCATCAGCTCTTTCTAGTGTAGCTCCGCATCGATGGCACTCAAAGCCTTCTGGCCCGATCCGGCTTAGAACTTCCAACTGAGTCCATTCAGCACCACATCTTATGCAAACATATTCCTTCCTGTCTGCAGTAGGAGTATATTGCGATTTAATAATCGAGGTGAGACGGGAAACACGATATTTGATAGCGTCCACAACAGGGTAGAGTGGTATATAGTAGTATTCACGGTTCACTGGGCGAGTTTGGCCATCTCGAATCTCAGGCCTTGAATGACTGGATACAAAGTTAGCTCTAAGGTTAGGCAAAGATTTTTTTCATGGAGACATCTCCCATACACTGCAATGAGGCGGTCTTCACGCAAACGAGCACAGAGCTTGCGCAGGTCCTTCTGTTGCATTCCAAGAAGATGTGCGAGGTCCTCCGCATGAAGGCTACAAGATACGTTAGCTAGAGATTCTATAGAAATTCGCGAGATTGAAGGAATCATACACTGAGTGTATGAAAAGAGCATCAATCACGAGAATGTGGCGAGTCTCGTAGAAAGCGCGCACGACAGTGCGAATAAGGCTGCTTGCGAGATCCATAGCTGTTGCTGGGCGGATATTACGCCAATCGACAGTCTCGGACGAGTTGATATACGTCTTGCTCAACTGCAGCTCGGTGGCCGCCTGACGATGGACGGGCTGGCACGGGCTCTCCGTTCAAGGTGGCTCTAGCTTATCTTGAAATCATCATTCTTCGCATCCCAGGCAGCGGCAAGCTGAAAAGGGGTGCGGTTAAAATATAGGGCTGTGTTCCCGTAGATAGCGGGTTTCCGTTCGCACTGAACTGAGATTAGTTGAAGAGAGTGTGGTGTCGTCGCGATAATACGAGAGGAGGGACGAGAAAATAAGAGCCCGCGAAGGAGGCATTTTATCTGTTTTGGGTTAGCGTGGCGTGATCGAGGGCAAAGCTGACTAACCAGCGACTCCGGACTGACGAGCTAAATCACGATTTTTAAATTTTATGCGGAGCGCGAAACTGCCCCAACTTGCGACAGGAACTCCTCCCTTGAGGAATTGATAGAATTGAACTGCTCTATGGGAAGCCTCCCTTTTCTATATCCAAGATGGATACCCACCAGCAGCCTCCAGGCCAAACTCCTTCAAGCAATCCTGCGCCGGATCAGCAGGCGGTTCCCAACCCAGACCATTCACAGCAACGGGAACTTCCACAATCACACCCCGAGGGCGGTACAAAGCGAAACATGGAATCAGATGTCACTGGAGGAAGCCAAGGAGGTCGCAAGAATAAGAGAAAAGATCTGGGAAGGAAAGCTTGGAGGTGCTTTTGCTAGTTTTTTGGTTTGAAATGATTCTATACTATGAAGTGTCCCGCAACTAACTAATCACAAGCCGTCAAACCACAGATAAAAGAGCACGGACAGAAGCCTCCCAAGAATCGAAGCGCCGTAAATTAGAGCGCGGAGAGGGAGCGCTGCCTATCTATGCTACAGAGTTCTCCAAAGAAGATATTGAAGCAGACCAACGACGCCCAAAAAAGAAAGTCGCTGTAATGCTGGGATATTCGGGTAGTGGGTATAAAGGAATGCAATTGTCAGTTTGAACGTCGCGAATTTTATCTTCATATTTATTCTAACGTATAGTCTACAGGAGCCCGACTGAAAAGACAATTGAAGGCGATTTATTCACTGCTTTCGTCGCAGCCGGGGCAATCTCCAAAGCAAATGCTACAGACCCCAAGAAGTCGTCCCTTGTTCGATGTGCTCGGACAGATAAAGGCGTTCATGCCGCTGGCAATGTTGTCTCGCTAAAGCTCATTGTCGAGGATTCCGATATTGTGCAAAAAATAAACGAACAACTCAGTCCGCAAATTAGGGTATGGGGCATCGAGATAACAAATAAAAGTTTCAGCAGCTATCATTTATGCGATTCACGTATTTATGAATATTTAATACCAACGCACTGCTTCCTACCACCGCATCCTAGTACGTCCTTGGGTCAAAAACTAGTCGAAATCGCCGAACAAGAGAATGACCTAGAGGGTTATAAGCAAAGGCAAGCGGAGGTCGCTACCTATTGGAAAGAAGTTGACGAGAAATATATTCAACCTATCCTGGAACGACTGCCCGAAGTAACACGGAACCGTGTGAAACGGGCGCTAATTGTTAAATCTGATACTGGCCCTGTGGACAGCTCTGATTCCCAAGGTGAACAAAAACTAAATCCATCTAATGAAGGAGATGATGCGCCCACCAGTAACGAGACATCAATCCAAACGAATGAAAACAAGGACACTAGCGCTGAAGACGCCCAGACAGTGACAACCAACGACGCTATCCGCATGATTCGAGCGGCCTACCTAGATGCAAAGAGGGCATATCGCATACCAAAAGAGCGAATGGACCGCATCAACGATGCCCTTGGGATGTACGTCGGTACAAGGAATTTCCACAACTACACCATCCAAAAATCTTTCCGCGACGCGTCCGCTAAACGACTCATCAAATCCTTTAAGATCTCGCGAGATCCATTGATCATCAACGGCACGGAATGGCTTAGTCTTAAGGTCCACGGCCAGAGTTTCATGATGCATCAGATCCGGAAAATGGTCGCCATGGTTGCCTTGGTGGTGCGCTGTGGCTGTGACATTCAGCGGATCCCAGAGACGTACGAAGATCATAAAATTGCCATCCCCAAAGCGCCAGGGTTAGGCCTGCTGCTCGAACGTCCCATTTTTGATTCATATAATAAACGAACTGTGGTTGAGTATGGAAAGAACCCGATAGACTTCTCCAAGTATGAGAAGGAAATTGAAGAGTTCAAACAGCGGGAGATTTATGAACGGATCTTCCGCGAAGAGGAGGAGTCAAATTCGTAAGCTTCTCTCTCTTATTCTTTGCTCTGCCGTTTTGCAGCGGCAACTTCAAATTTGCTCTGCCGTTTTGCAGCGGCAACTTCAAATTTGCTCTGTACGAAACGTAACCGCTGACAATATACAATACCCAGCTTCGGGAATTTCTTCAACCACATTGACACCTTTCAAGATAGCGCCTTCCACTACGTGACGTCGGGAGGAATACCCGCGTCCAAATCCCGCGGAGGTACTGGTAAAGCACCCATGAGCGGGAAGGCGGCGTTGAAAGAGGTTGAATCCGAATCCGAGGATGAAGTCGTCAACGGTGGAGAGGAGGGCGGATGATTGTAAACCCGCGCGCGCGCATGTGTGAAAACAGGCCCTATTCGGGACGATGGTGGAAGTCATATATAGTCCTCATATACTCTGTACTGTACTTGTATGCATAGTTATACCGTACAGTGAACAGCAGAAAAGCCTTACAATAACGGTTACCCTGAAAAAAATAATTAAAAAAGCATCTACTGTTTGTTCCCCCGTGCAGAATTGGCACTGCCAGATAGATCATTTCTGTGATCCACTGTTTGTCCGGCTTTAGGACACTACATCTACAACCGCCCTTCTCCAGCACATCAACGATAAAAAGCTCGATCCCATCGCAAAGGTATATAGAGAAAAAATATAAATAAGAAGCCAATAATTCTTGCATTAACTTAGCATATACAGTACATATAGAAACGCAAAATTTCAACACAAAATATGTTTCCATCGCAATTATAAAAGGTCAACCACAGCGGACACCACGCACATCCACAAAATCAGAGGACTTGTCGAATATGACGCAAAACAAAAAAGTCAAGAAAGGTACAATACACAAAGGAATAAGCAACAGAAGGCAGTCAGTCAAAGGAAAACAATTAGCCTATAGGCTAATAAAATGTGGCATGGAAGGGGCCAAAAAGCCGTTCAGTTTCAAACAAAACAAGAAACGATATCGTAATACTCATTCACTCTCACTGACATTTCCCATTGTTAATTTCAATCTTTTCTTCATCGCTGGAACAAAACAGTGTGAACAAACAAAGGTGGGAAGGTCAAAAAAAGGAGGAAAGGAAAAACAAAAGGAAGCCGCAAAAGAAAGCTAAAAGGACAAATCTCAAAGAGAGAAAAGAAGGATCTGAAATATTTCACTTAATAAAAATCGGGGGAAAAAGGACGGTGCCCTAAGAAAATCCAGATATATCAAAAAGAAAAAGAGCCAACATATGAGAAGAAAACGAGCAGTCAGATACTGAGCAGGGACAGAAACACTAAAAATCACTAGAGAGGGGGAAGATAAACTCAGGGCCAGCATGAGAAAACGAGAGAAGCGAAAATTGGAAAAAATCGAGCAAGGTATTGAAAAGGTTAGCCCATTAGTAGAAGAGCAAAGATTGTGTCTTCTGATGGCGAGAACCATGTTTTCCAGCTTCAGGTTGCGAAAGGTTATGCTGGTGTTTGGGTTTTGGCGCTGGCGCTGGCGCAGGCGCAGGTGCGGGAGGCTTGGCTAATGGAGGACCAAATTGATCCTTCGTTGGACTCGGCGGAGGATGTCCCGTACCACGGCCAGCCGCCTCAATCTTCGCAGCAATGCTACGTTCCCGCTTAAGAACAAGCTCCGTCCACGCCTTAGGCTGTCCGCTAGCACCGGCTGCCTGTCCCTTTCCAACAGTCTCGGCAAGGACTTTCATCCAGCCTTCCTTTGCCAGGGCACTATCGGCATAGAAATCAATTATTTCGCCGTTACCAAATCGGATGCGGAAACCTTCCTCCACAAACATGTAGCCCTCCTCTTCCTCCGCGAAGGCTGATTTACGTCGGCGACCGCCTTTCCCGGACGTTTCTTTCTGGGTTAATGTAGACTTATCATCGATCAGCTTGGATGCTTTGGCCAAATTGATGGTAGCCCGAGGTTGGCGAGTAGTTTCGTGGTACGCGGTAAGCTTTGACCCCTGAAGTTTAAAGTAACGTCGACGCCAGTACTAGGAACAATCAAATATTAGCCGAATCTCCCCGAAAGGGAAACAAAACAAGAGGAAATGATAAAACATACAGGGCAGTCTCCACCCTGTTGAGACAAAAATCCCTCCCATGATCTTGCAGCTGCATTATCGGCTTCTCTCATCTCCCTAATGCAGGCGTTCATACTCTTTGGCATATCATCATCCGTGGCCCCTTTGGGCTTAGGGACATAGAGAAGCTGAAGTTCCAGTTTGCCAATCTGGTAGGGGGGTCGTTGCTGCATCCCGGACCCTGCAGAGTAGGCCATGGATCTCCTGTTCTTTGAATTATTAACAGGGTCAGTTGCCCACTCGTTGAAACAAGTTACATCGACAGTCATTGGTCTCCCAAATGCCCCTTTCTCGTAATCACTCAGAGAAACGTAAGCACGAGCAAAGCTGCCATCGCTGGAAACTAAATTCCGAAGCGCGTCCCATGGGTTCTTTTTCTCAGCCAAAGCCTTTTCTTCAGCTTTCTGCTGTTTGAGCTGCTGTGCTTCCATTTGCTGCTTCAACCCCAACTCCTTTCTCTTCTTTGGGGATGCAAACACGCGGCTGAATGTCGAACTCTTGTGCGGTTTTGCCGCTTTACCAGGCGACGAGACGACAGATTGGCTGGGTTTAACTTTAGGCTCTTCCATTTTCATTTGAAGGGTCAATTGGAACTCAAGCTCGTTCAGAACAACCAATTCAAATTCTTGGCCGATAGGAGCGGATTTTCCAAGCTCTAGCCACGAAGTTGTTACACAGTGGAGGCCATTGTCAAGAGTTAGGGCAAAGTTGAACCGTTCACCTGCATCTAAAATTAGTCAATCATTTCAATACAGGACGATTACAATACGTACCTCGTGCCAGGGGCAAATCCAAATCCTTCACTCCAACTACCTTGACAAAGAGTCGTCCCCTTTCATCACCCTCCTCAGTCTCCTCTCCGGTAGTTTCCGATTCATCCACGCCACCAACTTCTTGCTTTGCATTGCTTTCCTGTCCTGGCAATGGAGGGACAGATCCGGGAACGGGCTTCTTCTTCGGCATGCCACCTGCTAACTTGATGCTTTGGCGCCTCGTTTTTCCATTCCACGGCTCAGTTGTCCACGTCTGTTGACTGGGTTTTCGTGGAGAGCTTCCTGCAGATTTGGTGCCTCTTGGGTCGCCATCCACAGGAGAGTTTGGCTCCGACGTCTCATCCTGGCAGCTGGTTGCGACGATAACTTTGGTATTGTGCCTCATGAGGTAACCTCTCTGTCGAGTAGTAACATTATTAGCAATCCTGTCACCAGCTAAGGGAATTTCCTTCCTTTCAGATGGCATCAAATTAGGCAAACGTGATTGTTGCATGTTGACATTGGTTGTGTCCATAAAGGGGGTGGTGTAACGAGTCTGCTTGGAAAGGAAATGGTCAAACGCAACCTTTTGGGCCTCAATAACGCGGTCAAATTCCAGGTCAAGTCCAAATCCTAAACCTTCGTCGTTTGCGCTCACGGGAATATCGAGTTTCACAAGAGAGCTTTGCCGCTTGTCATTATTGATTGGCACTGTCGCATTAAGCTGGGGAAGATCGGATAGGAACGAGGTGAATTGATCGCCATGCTCTCCATAACTGGGCCGGGATCCGGTTGACGATTCTTCTGATATTGACGGTACAGGCGGTTCCTGTCCACTTACCTTACGGCGAGTTGCCGCCATCTCATGGACGTCTGCAGGACTCAGGGACGGTTTCGTTTTTAAGCTTCCATTGGACGATTTTATGGTCGCAAGAGGATCTGGAATAGCGAGGAACTCGTCAGTGGGGGACATGTCGTCGTCAACGGAATGGCGAATGACCGATTCGGGTGTCGCAGGCCCGTCATGATCGCTACCATACACACTTTTTGACGCCTGGCTACCATGGCCATCTGGAGTTTCCTGGCGGTGGAGAGAATCCCGAATTGACTTCATATCTAAGGCGGGGGCAAGCTTAGAGGCTTCATCAAGCGTTGAAGAGCGGTCAACGTACGAACTCAAGTCGAGTTCGGAGTTATCTTCACCAGTAATACCGGAAAACTCAGAGCGGCCTGGGCTCAGATCAGGCAGGCGGTATTGTTGTGGCGCATTCTCCGGTACTGGCGTGCTCTGATCATCCGTCGAATCACTAGAGGTATTGAAAGTTTGCTGGTCGGGATCGTTGACCGAGTCTGTGTATCCATTTTCATTGTTACTTTGCGTTCCATTACTATCATCATCGTGTTGAACTTCATGGCCGTCGTGTGCAGTCTGAGAATAATACTCAGAGATATCATAAATATCGTCATCCTCAGCTGGCTCTTCCTTGATCATGACTTCTTCCTCGTCTGTCTCCAGAGAGGGGATGGGGATGTCGGGGTCTAGGGGAGTGTGAAATCGTGGACTGGAGCTCCGAAGTGGGGAGGAAAAGTCCTCATTTTCGTCGTCATTTTGCTTTCTGATGTTTCGTAGAATGGATTCTCTTGAAATATGAGGCGCAGAGACGTGCGGATTGAACGGTGAGCTGTCCTGCCTAGGACTTGAAGTGTCGCTGAACGATGGGGTACTTTCAGTCTCACGGTCAAAGTTCTTATCCTTTATCCCAGCACGTCTCATTCTACGCTCACGCTGCTTTTCGGCTTCCGGAGAGCGTTCCGGGTCCTGGACCATCATCAGACGAAGCCTGTCTTCCAGTGACATTGACCCATGGCCCATTCCATTTATTTCGGCCTTCGAGCAAGATGCCGGGCTCAATGGGGAGGGCAACTTGCGGGATCCACTACTGGCAAGTTCCATTGTCATAGAGAGCCTACTCGCCCGGTCGGGAGTTACTTGGGACTGAGAGCTAGAAGCGGGCAACGGTGGGAGAGGACGATGGTCACTGTTAGAGTCAAAAGACTCCACTTGGGATTCGAAGGGCTGCGATTCTTGCGCAGAAGATGGCCTCAGATCGGGGCCGGGGCTGCCGAAATCTTCACTGAAAGGGTCATCCTCCCCCTGGAACTCCTCGCTAGCTCTATCGGGGCTCATAAAACGCCAGTCCTCTGGTAGAACTACTGGAGTCTTATCTGTATCTTCCAAAGACGCGTCAAAGCTGTCTTCAGCCCCCATGTAAGAACCGCGATCAAAACTCTCCTCCTCGTCCATATCAGCGGAATCGTAGCTTCCTTCCCGTGAACTCGAGGCAATTGATGATGGAACGGGGGTGGTCATTTCATACTCGTTGATCTGAGGGGGTGCTGCATCAAATGTTACGCTTTTAGTCTGGCGATGCATATAGGGACGCCTTGGTGTTGTATCCGGACCCGCATCTTCGTTATCTGACCAGATCTCGCTCTCGGGATCAAAAGACGGACGACTATTCCCGAATCTACTTTCTTTCGTCAAAGATGACTTCGTGGGAGACGATTGAGGCCTGCTTGGAGAAGTATGAGAGTACGTCGGGGAGAAAGAGCTTTCCGGCTTTGGGGTAACTGGGGTGTTATTTGTGGAGTCGATTTTCCCGGGATACAGATTTTGTTTAGTTGGAGAAACAGATTGGGATGGCAGCTGTCGTCGAGCATCCACACTGCCTGCTTCTTTGGTATTATTCTTAAATTGAGAGCTCAGTGGTCGACCGGTGGCAAGGGGCCGTTCCAAAACCTGGACGTGGGCAGGGTCATATTCCTGCTTCTTCTCTCTAGCAAAAATGCTGCTATTTTTCACACGGGATGCTCGTTTTAAATTTTCAATGGAAGATCTTTTTGATGGGGTGGTCACAAGAGGGTCGTATGGGCTTCTGTTTTCAGAACCCGGCCTGGCTGGAGACCCGCTATCCCTGCCCTTCCAAAACAATCTTGGAGACTGGGGGGAATTGAAGGAATCGAATGGAGATGAATCGCCATTACCGACGGTGGTCTAATCATAACAGTCAGCCAGGAGCTATGTTAGACCAGGAATTATCTACACACCTTGGTGCGCTGGTTCCAGCTTGGGGAGTTTCTACGTTGAGCCACTGGACTCAACTCCGAAAGAGGCCGCTGTCCACTTGCCATCTTGGGAACGAAAGCGGACTGACACGCGTCTTCTCAACTACTTTCCGTATCTATCAATTGATTAACAGGCTGTCTTGAATCAATCCGCAGTAGAACTTCATCAAAACAAACAAAAAACTGCCTAGTTGAGGTAACAATTCTAGTAGAATCATACCTGCGACAAATGATATAGCCACACAACAAGGGTATTCTTTGCGGCGAGCTAAGGGTGTCGAAAGAGTATTGACGAACAAATAACTGTATTGTTTGCGAAAAGCAACAATGGCGCGCCAAAACGGCGGGGAGAAAGGGGGGGTTGGTTATAGTAGTATGGCTCCTTTGACTGGTTTCCCGAGAAATTTAACTGCAACAACAGCCAACAGGCGGGAAGAAGGGATGTATAAACAGCAGAAACAACAGGTAGAAACAAAGACAACAAAGAGCGACGTGAAGAGAAACGGAAGAGGGCAAGCATGCACGCAAGCACAGAGCCAGGACAGAGAGAGTACGGAGGATGATGGCCAGGAGCGGCGTCGATGTGGGTTATAACTTATAGGAGACAACGATGTTGTGTATGGTATGGTATGGGAGGGAGGGGAATGAGGGAGCCTCATGGATTCGGGCCCGGTTTGCCTTGTTTGTTGCCGCCCCGATGTTGATGTTCCCGCTGCTGCGGTTTCCCCAGCAACCTGTCCCGATCTGGCCTAGTGTCAGTTCCAAGCTTCCAAGGGTTTGAATCTTGGAACCTTCAAATTTTCATCCACTTCCAAGCTTAGTTTGATGCGGCCCGACGACCAGCTCTGGGGCCATATATATATACACATATTATATATTCGCAACAGCTGCCACGGGTCGTTTACTTCATGTCATTCGTGTCATCCGTATGTCCGCGTTGTGATATGAGAGCTGTTCTTTGGGGCCGGCAGTCTGCTGTGTCTCCACCATGGCAGGCCATCCGCTTCGCTTCGTCCGCCAGGCAGGCCCGGCGCAAACCAGCTCGCATGGCTCTGTCACCAAATGTTGCAAGACCCTCTGATCGATCCCCCGATTCCAAGAGGAACGTTCCTCCGACATTCAAGAATAACCCCTTTGGAGGCATGAACCAAACCCGAGCCCGCTTACCCGATCGCCCACTGGCCAGGTCTGAAGCGCAGCTGAAAAGATCTTCGTCAGATAGGAATAGTATGGAAAAGGATGATGTAGACAAGAAAAAGGAGGGTTCGCTATTTAGAGCTCTGAAAATGCAGATCGCCCTAACACCAATACCCTACTCGCGTCGGAATAGAATTAAGGAGAAAATCGCCTCGATTACCAAATTTGATCAGTTCGCTCTTCTCCCTGAAGTACGAGATGCAGTGTACGCAAATGCATTCCCCACACTTACCGAAATATCCCCAACTCCTATCCAACGTGTAGCTATTCCAGCACTGCTTAAACCACCCGCCTACAAGTCAGAGAAGAACAGGCTGCGGAAAAAGTCTAAGGCCGAGGCAGAAGAAGAAGAGCTGTTCGATTTCGACCAATTTCTGCTGGCAGCTGAAACTGGGACTGGCAAAACGCTAGCATATCTCCTACCAGTTGTAAACTGGATCAAACGGGCTGAGGTGGCGGAAAAAGAAACGGAAATGATGGAGAAGGAGCAAAAGCAACAGGAAGAAAAGGAAAAGGAAAAAGAAAATCTATTTGAACTTGAGGCTCCCAAGGTGGTCATGCCGGAACATTCGAACGTCGCACGGCCCCGAGCTATCATTTTGGTGCCAACAGCGGAACTGGTAGAACAAGTAGGGAAACTCGCAAAACAGCTTTCACATACTGTCAAGTATCGCTCCGCGATGATTTCGGCTGCCTACACTCCACGCAGAATTACAAACAACCTTTTCAATCCCGCTGGAATCGATATCCTTGTTTCCACCCCTCATCTCCTCACCTCTATCGCCAAAACCAACCCATACATCCTCAGCCGCGTCACCCACCTCGTCATTGATGAAGCAGATTCACTCTTGGACAAATCCTTTTCACCTCTCACATACTCCATTCTCGAAAAAACTGCTCCCTCCCTGAAACAACTGATCCTTGCCTCCGCCACCATCCCTCGAAGCCTCGATTACCTCATGGAAAAAAAATTCCCGGAAATGAAACGCCTTGTGACTCCAAACCTCCACGCCATCCCGCGCAGAGTCCAATTAGGCGTCGTAGACGTGGACAAGGACCCATATCGTGGCAACAAAAAGCTCGCCTGTGCCGACATAATATGGTCCTTAGGCAAAGCAGGAGTAACCCAGGATGACGTCCCCAGCGACGGCTACCCAACCTCCCTCTTCCCCGAGCCAAAACATATCATCGTCTTCGTCAACGAGCGCGAAACGACAGAGGAGGTAACCGCCTTCCTTAACCAAAAGGGTATCCACGCCGTCGCGCTTTCGCGAGATACCTCGGATCAGCGCAAGGATGAGATCCTCGCGGAATTCACGACGGTCAAACCACCACCCACTCCCCGGGAAGTCAAAGATGCGCAGCGGAACAAGAAGAATTGGTTCTCAGACTCTGTCCCATTCGTTAGGGACGAGAACGCACACCTAGGCCCCCAGAGGAGTCTCCGCGATACCAAGGTGCTTGTCACGACTGACCTTGGCTCACGCGGTATTGACACGGTCGCGGTACGCAATGTTGTTTTGTACGATGTTCCGCATACGACTATTGATTTCATCCACCGGCTGGGTCGTACGGGCCGCATGGGGAGGAGAGGGCGTGGGATTGTTTTGGTTGGCAAGAAGGATCGGAAGGATGTTGTGAGAGAGGTGAGAGAGGCGATGTTTAGGGGCCAGGCTTTGATCTAGGGAACTGTTCATGTATAACCAAACAGTTTGTTTATTTCTCTCTTTTTCTCCCTATATTTGTGGGGTTTGGGTCTATAGAACAGTTTAATCGCCCTTTTCTTTTTTGCTTCTTATGTACTGTATGATAGATAACGTCGGATACTAGGGGGGTTTTCCTTTGGAGTTTACGGAGGAATCAAGCTTGAAAAAGTTGAAAAAGTACATATATCACTATGCACAATAGATCTGATTAATCCAAAATCATCAATCTTTCCTTTTCTCTTTGAATAAATTGCAAATCTCTCTCCTCACTTTGCCCCTGCTTCGTTTATAATATATGATCTGCCAATAGAAATCCACCCCCGATCAAACAAATAATTGTTAATGTATATTTGCAATTCCCAAAAAGGTCACTGTAGCTATGTGAGCCTCACCTGGCATGGTGATCTGTATGGATGGACACTCTGAGGGTGCACAGATTAAGGGGCAATCAAACCACAGTCAAAGAGCAACAATTAGTTGATCTCTCTAAATATTTAAACAAGATTAATAGACCTGGACATATATTTCCTTCCACAGTTTTATTATTATTTTATTGTTCAGGTTATTCAGAATCAAACAAATATTAACTATAAAACCACAGAATAAAATATGATATATGTACATTTATACATCTATTGAATTCAAAAAACTTTAAACAATCAATCTAATAAATCAAAATTAAAAAAAATAGCAGTGAACTAGAATGATTGTTTTTAAAGGAAACAGTTTAACATTGTTGAGAATGAGAAAGAGAAAACTGCTAAGAATAAAAACAACAGAAAAGAGATGGTAACAAAGCTCTCTCTAATTCATCTAAAGATAGGCTTCTGAACAATTTCACATTGTTCTTAATATGACTAATTCATACTCTATCTATAATTTAACATCAATAAATGTTCTAATATATCTAGAGAAGCCTTATTCCATTCTTCTAAACAGTAGGTGCAGATCTTTTGACATTAGTATATTCGTATCAGGCACTCTTCAGGCTCAGGGGCAAACAAGCATGTCTAAACCTCAGAATGAGCCACTAACTAGCATAGTTAAATCACTTATTACATCTGAAACTGACATCATTGAGTCATCATTGCTGGACATAAGAAAAATAGATGGATAGATGGAGAAGTATGATTGCATGTCAGAGAGATTGTGCTCCACAAAGGAAAAATTAGAATGTTTGTTTCTCTGCCTGCTAAAGAACCATCTAGGAAAGGTTGGGCATCTATAAATGTGAATAAATATTATGTCTCTGGGATTTTATAGCAAACAGTAGAAAAGGGTTGAGATATAAAAGCGAGCCATGGGCGGTGTAAGGAAAGGGATAAAACGAAGAAGTGACTGAGGGCCCAGAAAACAGAGGTTTCTATTTCTCTATTGATTGAGTATCTTCACGAGGACGGGAGACGAAAGAAAGGAAAAGAACGAAAGGAAGGGCGGAAACTGAGCTCGATCATCTATCGTATATCAACTAGTTAACTCAAATTCCCATATCCTGCCACCTCACCCATATCAAGATACAAGAGCGGGAAAAGAAAAGGATCTCAACCCGTCATACCGAAACAGCCTTAACCAATATCGCCAACCAGATATCCACCTCCCTTCCCTTCCTCAACCCCCAGGCCCTCAGACAATACCGAGAAACCAAACACATCTCGATAACAAAAAAGGATACAATGAGCTACCTCCGCCTCTTATACCAGCTCGCAACCCAGCCCCGTCCCAGTGGTGATCATCGCCCACGGATTGACGGTAGCACCGCACGCAAACCCAAGACCTGGGGACAACCACAGCGAAACTTGTTGGGGATTAGCGATGGAGCGGGTGGGGTTAAACTTATTGGCTTAAACCCGGGGGAGGGAGCGGCAGCTCGCCAGACTCAGCGTAATCGTGCTATCACCGGTGGTGGTGCTGCTAATACCACCAATGCGGCTAATGTTGTTCAAGTGAATAGGAGCGGGAGTGCAAGGGAGGGGCATATTGTGATACCGGGTTGTGAGTGTGTATGGTGTAGAAGGGCGATGGAAGCTGGGGACACTGGTGGTGGGGGGAAATGGTGGTGAAGGAGCAGCAGGAGGAAGAGGAGCTACTGGTAATGGTGCCGAAAGAAGGGTGCGCTTTATTTTGTGATGATCTTGGGCTTTTAGCTTAGTAGCAAGAACAAATTGGGGGAGAGTGAACATATGAAACCTAATGTGGTAGACTGTTTAACAGACCAATTGCTAGAGCAGAAGGAAAGAAAAATATTCCGGCGAAAAATCGAAGCAAAAATTGGGCAAGTTTGGGATTCGCAATAACTATACAGATTAACAAAATAATGTAATTCCTCCACGTAGGTCATATATTACTGATGATGATATATGCAGTTGTAGCTGCAGCCATTGCCAGGAGATCACCAATAGACACAGAAAAGGGGTATCAAATTTCCAAAAGCGTAAAAAGAACTCCGTGATATCCCCCTGAACAACATCGCATTCCATCGAAATAGTGGAAGCGAAAAAAGAACGAAAAAGGAAAATGGCAATGATGAAAGATAGGGGATAAGGAATAATCGTGGAAAAGAAGCGAAAGGCGTTAATTCAGTGCAGGAAGAGATCTATCATGATAGAATCATACAGAGAAATATAATGACAAGATGCATTCGCCAAAGATTAACACTCCCAGATACTTGTTTAGAATACACGTTAGCTTCTCAGACATATCAAACCAGGGGATAAAACGACAAGAACGAGAAAGCAAAAAGAAAACTGAAAAGAAAAGAAAGCTAACCGTCACATTGTCATCCTCAACTCCCTAACCGCCCTCCTCCCCGCCCTCGTCATCCTCCTCTCATCCCCAAAGTCACTCCCACCATCCGTATCAGTCTTGACATCCGGACTCTCCGGCGTCGGGCTCCCAACAGTGCCGCCAAGTCCTCCAGCACCAAGCCCAAAACTAACGCCTCGATCCCTCCTCTGGATCCGATGCTCCTCATCCGACGTCAAAAACCGATGCACAGTCCTATGATCCATCACCCGTTCCTCCAAATCCCATCTCCCCTCCCGATCCGTCTTCGGCCACCGGTACCCATACAGTTTCGAATGGCGCTCGCAGCGCGGACACTCCTTGCGTGTGAAGTACGAGTCGCCCTGCACGAACCAGGCATTGCAGGTGGAGCAGTCGACCCAGCGGTCGTAGCGTTGGCCGAGGAGTTTGGGGGTTTTTGTGTAATCGCCGGGGATGCGGAGGAAGGGCGGGGAGGGGTCTTCGTGCTCGATTGTTTGGAGGATTTTTGTGCGGCGGGTTTTTCGTCTTTTTGAGGACGAACTAGTGGAGGAGAGTTGTTGGTCGCTTTCTAGTGTCGGTTCTGATTCTTCTCGCTCCCGCCGTTTTCGTGATTCTCGTTTATTACGTTCCTGTTTTCGGTTTTGGCCTCGTTTGACAACGAGCATGTCTGCGTCGTTTAGTTCCCAGGAATTCGACAGGTCGGATAATTCGCCGTCATCGTTTGTATCTTCAAAGACAAGTTCGGGGACTCGTGCTGTCTGAGCGGCGGGGTGGTCGCATGCCGGGTGAGGATTCCGATTGTCCCTATTATCAGTGCTCTGGGCGACTAACGGTTCGTGCCCCTCTGCCGATTCTTTTTTAATTTGTACCGATGTCGTGTCTGATATTGAGGTTGCCTCGGTAGATGCAGATGCGGAGGTGGTGGTGGAACTATGCGTTTCATCTGGGCCAGGGGAGCAAGACGATTGGTCGTTCGTAGAAGAAGCAGCTTTGTATGAATTACACGTATCGGGATTATCAGCTTCGTGATGAGGATCTAGGCCATCTGCCTGATGAGTAGAACGATCAACAGCAATGGGGTCCTTGCAGCTGTTTGCATATTCGGAAAGGGATTGATCTAGAGTTGAAAGGAAAGAAGGTTCGCCAGCCTCTGGACTGCTGGGCATGGACATCTCAAGCCTCAAATTCGAAGCCTTTCGCTCCACCTTCCGTCTTCTAGACGGCGTAGAATTCTCCGTGGAGAGAAACCGGGAATCTGAACCGCGTTTCCTTTTGTTATTATTACTGGACCCCGGCGAGGGCGGCGTCGAAAAAGCAGATCGATCTAGCTTCTCACATACATCCGTGGGCGTGGAGACACCGCTATTCGTCCCGGAATCAATCACAACACCATTCGGAGACCATCCATTCCGGAGTGCCAGCTCACAGGTATGACAGAGACATTCGCAGTTATCCTCACCAAAATAATTCTCCCCATACGAGACGGTAATCTCCTCACCAACCACAATATCCCTAGTCGCGATTACCTCCATACTTTCCGGCCCCCTCATCACCAGTCTCCCATTCGCGTTACAATCATGATTCGCAAAACGCGCCGGCCCCAGAAAGATAGACGGCGTCTTCTTCCGGCTCGACATAACGATACTAAAATCCTTCCTTGTTAGATCGAGATCCATCTCCTCCTCGCGTGTCATGGGTACAAGCGTGCCGCTGAGCCCGCGTATCGTCGTTCCGGAGGCGATGAACTTTCGCGCAGAAACGGCTGCCTCGTGGGTGGTTATGGTGTAGCGATTGGTGGTCATGACCTCAAAGGGACAATCGGGAAGGTAGATGACGATGTACTTGCGCAGGTGTCGACGAAACCATTCCTTCTCTCGATCGGATTTCAAGCGGTCGACGAATTTCTTCAGCCCCGGGAGAGCTAGGAGTGCTTTCTCAGCCTTTGGCGCGTCTTTCCCGACGATGACATCGTGGAGGAGAATGGAGGTAACCTGTTCTTCAAGTATACCTCTGCAGGGGATATACTTGGTTCGGTTTTTGCGGATCTTGGTCCAGAAGTAGGCCTTTTATTCGCATTTCGAAATTTCATTCAAGCGTCCAAGTTAGTTTTGCTGAAATGCGCCAGAGCATATATGATAAAAGCATGAACTTTCTTCTTGAATTTTCTTTGAGGGATGCTAACCCGATCAACTAGCGCGTCTGTGATCACATCATCATAGCTGGCAAGTTGAGAAAGCGTCAACTTCTCTTTGCGGTCAGGAGGCGGTATGCTAGGGGCCATCGGAAGCGTGGGAATATATACTGCGTGACGCGGTCAATGGGGGTTTTCAAGGTGTATTATTGCATAAATTGGACGTATGAAGCAAGATACAAATAAAAATACACGAGATGGATATATGGGAAACGAAAGGCCGGGAAGCGATAGAAAGCGATAGAATGGGAACAAGGGGTAAGTATTGTTTAGACATGGGGCAGCCAAAAATAAAATAAAGATGTCAAGTTATAGTTCAGATGATGTCGCAAGCAACTGCAGAGCCGCGATCATTGTGGGCAACAACACGCGATGCGCTTCAAGACTCCCTGTTTTGCTTTGGCCTGGGAATATTTGAACAGAAAGCTCCCAGGCTCCAAAGGCTGAAAATGAGGCTTTTGACGTCGTATTTTTGGCTGGATTACTTAATGCGGCGATCAGCTGCTTGGAAAGGGGAACTTGGCCGCTGATTGGCTGAGCTATTTATGGGAGCAATCGGAACATTGTTCATCCGGGGTCCGGTGGATCTGATGCTTATTAAGCACCAGATCTTGGAGTGGGAAATCGCGAGGACAGGAAGAAGTAAAGAGACGAAGAGACGTCCAGAGCAACAGAGCAGAATTTGCAGACGGGACAGACCAAGTCATGCAACCAAGATGATCCAACTAAAGGTATGTCCGTTTTCCTTATAATCGGGCCAGGGTGAGAGAGTGAAGGAGGGAGGGAGAGAGATACATCCGCTGACAACTTCTTCCTTTAAACCAGACGATGCTTAATTGCATCGACAACTCCGGCGCAGCCATTGTCGAATGTGCCAGCGTCCTAAAAATGAAACGAGCAGCCTCAATCGGTGAGTTTGCGCCATATCCTCTATCGTTATCCCTATCCGATATACCTCCGCTCCTCTCCATCCAACAATGCGCATCCCAAGAAAGCTGACAAAAGGCCGGCGTCATCCCAAATAATTACAGGCGACCGCATCATCGTCGTCGTGAAGAAACAGCGGAATTTCGGCCCGGAGATGGGCGGTGTCAGCAGCGGCATTGCCAACAAGGTCAGACGAGGAGACGTCTGCCATGCCGTCGTGGTCAGGACGAGAAACGTACAGAGGCCCGATGGCAGCTTTGTCAAGTTCGATGATAACGCGTGCGTACTTATTAATAAGTCTGGGGATCCGATTGGGACGAGATTGAATGGTCAGTAGGAGGTGGTTTTTTCTTATTTTGCTTTTTTGCTCACTTGTTTATCCGAGACATATATACTGACTCACGTCAATAGGTGTTGTTGGAAAAGAATTGCAGAAGAAAGGCTGGTCGAAGATATTGTCGTTAGCACCCATGCATTTGTAAGATTATTGTATAGAATATATATTGTATTTTTGTTATTTCCCCTTCCGCTTGCATCAGAATCTCAGTAGGATGTATAACCTAGCTAAAGTGTGTCGCAACGCCAGAAAATGAATGACGAATAAAAATAAAAATACAAAACTATAGAAATAGGAACACTCTCTAACGCCTCAATATATCCAGCTCGTCCAAACTCATAAACTCCGCCCAATGGGTATAAATTCAGAGAAGGAAAGGAAATGACAGATAAAAAAAGAATCGAAAATTCCCTCCCAAATCAAGTAAACACATTTCCACAAGTGCAGCACACGTAGTAGAGTTTCTATCCCGAAGAACCAAGGTTAGCAACTTGTGAAAGGGAAAAGGGGAAAGGAGTATAAAATAGGCATATATCCATACCATTCCCGTCTCTGCTGACCGTTGCTGAGATTGAAAGAACACCGCTTCGTTTTCGCCGCAGCTAGGGCAAAGTTTGTTTGACCGGGGTAGCTGTGGTTTGTGCCAAACCGCAAAACAAAAGGTTTTTCTCATTAGCCAAAGTCTGGATGGAGAAAAAGAGCTTTTGCAGCTCGGAAAGCGGGAAAGTGCTAGAAAACAGAAAAGAAATGGAAAAGAAAAGTGATAAGAAAAGTCCTCGGCGGGGAATGGAGAAAGGTATGGCGCTATTATAACGTTCCTCGGTCGAAAAGATGCAAAGACAGGCAGAAGAAAGACACTATTGATATTGGATGTCTTCTCCACAGAGGGTGCACAGGGGAAGACCAACCGTAGGATCAGATCCCACATCTTGAGTCACACCGGCCGTGTCACCAACTTGGTTATTGAGTTTGTTCTGGTAGACGCATGGGGAGGAGGCGGGCTCGCCAACATGGCAGGTTCGGCAGGTGAACATGAGCGTATGGGTATTGCGGTCTTCCTTTGGGTAGAGCAAGTTGGAACTATCGAAGGGGGCTCAAGGAGTTAGTCTTGCAGTTTTTTTAGATTGTGATTTTCTGTTTTTATTCTGCTGAAGGAAGTGAAAAGGAAACTCACCATTCACGGCAGAAACGGAAATGGATCTGGCTGGAGCTTTGTGACTGGTCGCCACTGGAGGACATGGGAGAGGCAGACATGTTCGAAGCGGGGAGGGCGAATATTTTTCTCAAAACGAACGACGCGGGGGGAGCACGACGGTGAGATTAAATTAATGTGCCGGATAGAGCGATAGAAGGAGGAGAACGAGGAGGAGGAGGAGGAGAGTACGAGGGTGGTTGTATTCTTTCCTAAGCGACGGGCGTCGGAGGGAATGGCAGATAGATGGATGATGGATGGTGAGTAGTATGTAGATGGAATGAGATGAGGCGAAGTGAAGAAGTTGAAGATCGAGGATCGAGGCAGAAGACGGGGGGCAAACTGGGCTAACCGGTTCGGGACAAGAGCCAAGCTCGGACTTCCCTTCCATGTAGTTGATCCCGCAGTTTGTCCAGCTCGCCTCTTCTACCCCTGGTGATATCAATATCACTTCACTGCTCTACAATTCCAGTATCTATAGCTCTTCTCTTATCTATAATATCCGGAGATATCCTCCCATCACTTTCGCGGAATATAATACATCATCATGGTAAGTTGCGTCTCCCAAAGGGGCCATCACACGAACTACCCCCTCATTCCCACCACCAACCACCCACAGCAGACCATCCAGCAAGACTCCCTACTATTTCCCAATTGAGCTATCATTTCTGACAAAAGCAATGAACAATGCTTGCCTCACCTCCAGGATGAATCAGGTCTCCCGCCCGGCTGGGAAGTCCGCCACTCAAACTCCAAAAACCTCCCTTACTACTTCAACCCCACAACCAAAGAATCCAGATGGGAACCCCCCGCCGATACCGACACCGACAAGCTCAAAGTATACATGGCACAGCATCACAGCGGACCTGCTGACCGTTACACATTAGGCGGCGCCGGCGGCGGCCCTGTTGAGGGCAAGATCCGCGCCAGCCATCTTCTTATCAAGCACCGTGGCAGTCGACGGCCCAGCAGCTGGCGGGAGTCGGAGATCACGCGCTCCAAGGAGGAGGCGTTGGAGATCTTGCGCGGGCATGAGGAGCGTATCAGAGCTGGGGAGACGACGTTGGGGGATATTGCCATGTCGGAGTCGGATTGTAGTAGTGCGAGGAAGAAGGGGGATTTGTGAGTCTTGTTGATCCTCTTGATTCTCTTGGCTTTTTTGTACCTTTTATTTTGGGTTTTCTTTTATGGATTTTTGTTTTTAGATATCTTGATAACTGATAGATTGTCATTTCCTAGGGGTTTCTTCGGCCGAGGTGAAATGCAAGCTGAATTCGAAGAAGCGGCTTTTGCTCTTAAGCCGGGACAGGTCAGCGGGATTGTCGAGACAGCTTCTGGGGTTCATCTCATTGAACGGTATGTCATTTATGTCATGTCTCCGCGTTCTTTCTTTCCTTGTACATCCCAGCTCCATATATAAGAGCCAAACAAGGGGCAGTATATACGCTAACCTAGCAATCTAGTGTTCAATGAATCAATATCGATGAAAGGAATGAAAGGAAAATAAATCACTATATACCAGACCATGATATTCTTTCATTTTGTGTAACTAGTATACCAGGTCAATTGTAAAAGGATGAAATTGGATCCTGCTATACACATCTATGTGAACTGCTATGATACCCATCAGCTTTATCAGGTTGAGCATGCATCGGCACCTTGACTGCACACGCACACATTGCCCTGCTCTTCATTAGGAAATAAACAAAAGAAATGCCTTTTGAGAAAGCAAATCTGATTCTTTCATTTTCTTCTTTTCTCTTTCATCACAAACCTCTTTTTCATCATACCTCATCAGCAGATTTCTCTGCGTCTTTCTTTGAAACCACGATCTCCACGTCGTATCCCACCCCTGTGTCTAGGGACCTGTCACGACGATTATCTCTTTGTTTTTGATTTAAAGGGAAAAAAGAAACCTCGAGAAGAGATATACGCTTCCTCCACACGATGAAGTGTGAATACTCTCCTCAGCAAGTACGCGGGAGCTCGCAGCTTTCCTCGTCTGAGTGGGATGAGTTGCCAGATCGGCTGGGCATCGAGCATCTACTAGAAGTAAGGCTTGAAATATCTATCTATCCTTTATCCTGGTAATATTATCGTATACAAAAGGGAGAGTTAGATCTAACATTTTACTCTTTGTGGCTCATTCAAGAAGTTCACTTTACCGCGTGATGAATCCCCACGCTCTCCTCGTCACGATGAAGACCATCTCGGGGCTGCTGGGCATCGCAATGGGCCAACTGAAGGAGCTCAATTTGGTGCGCACAGTGTTATGAATCACCATGCCAACGGATCTGGCTCTTTCGCTTCTGCGCCCATTGCCTCCACTGAAGTCAAGCAAGAGGAAGCTGAGCCCCTTTTGTTCGACGGAAACCCCTTTGGCTATACCTTTGCCCTCCACTCCGGATTTAACAACAACACCAGCAGCAGCACTCAAAACTTCCCGACTGAACAGCGTGTTGATGCCAGTCTGATCGACCCCCAGATCATTGGAACCAGCTCTGTAGGGGGCTCGCCCAAACCCCGCCCTGCAAGAGTTCTTCAATCAAGTGCGCAGCATATCATGCCTTCAACCACAGCAACAATGCGAGACGAAATCCCCGGAACAGGTAGCTTCCAGTGCACCTCAAGCTACGAAAATACTCGTAGTTCAAGCGTCTTCTCCGTCTTCTCCGCTGACACGACGAGTGCCTATCCTACTCCGTCTTCAGACTCTCCCAGCCGCTCCTCCTCTTCTTTCCCCCAGCACCCCGCTGGCCATACCACCATGGAGGCTGGTAACCCCCTTCTCACGGCCGCAGACCTACTCCTGCAGCAGCCCTTCCACCACTTTTCCGATATAATGAAATTCCACGTCCCCGCGCAGACAGAGCGCTTCCTCACTTCCATCGAGATGCTCACCACCCAAGCCCGCGAGTCCATGTTCCTCCTGCACCGCCAGCACGAGCTTGCGTTCACCTTCTACATCCACATCCAGAGTCTAGAGCACAATTTTCGCCTGCACCAGTGGGGAGAGTATCTCGACAACATGCGCTTCCAGTGCGTCAACATCCGTGACGGCCTAATCGGGGCGCTCAAGAACATCTGCTGGGGCTTCGCAGAGTGGATGGGTGTCTACAAGGATGAGTTGCCATGTGGGATCGTGTTGCGCGCTCGGGATGCACTGAGACAGGCGAGCGAGTTGAAGGCGATGATTGATCGGTTTGCCTATCCGACCTGGCAGGAGATGGTGGCTAAAGAGGCGGTGATAGAGCAGCCGGCTAACATCTCTGGCCTTGAGGCTGATCAGCTTTTTGGGGATTTCGTGAACGGCGATGGGGTAATGCCAAATCATTGAAAATAGTGGTATATATTTCCTGTTTCCCCTATTTCTCTGGTTTTGTCGCTTTGTTTCTAAACGCACTTTCCACGCAGACGCTGATAGCTCTCTTGTGGATTATGATAGCTTTCCAGGGGCAGTCGCAGAACAGTGCGGTTTTCCTGTTTTCTTTTTCTTTCTTTCTTTTTCTGTCTTTCTTTCCTTGGAAAAAAAAAAAAAAAAATTAATCAATTGTTATTCTGAACATTACAGGAAGAATCCGAGACTTTTTTTGAAGCGGAAGGAGAGAAAAATTGCTGTTTTTGATTGATATCGTCCGTACTGCGTGTTCACATCTACATTCCTCGAGATACCGTTGGGTAAATAATGTGTATTGTGGGATATGGAATGCTTATTCAAGGGGCGGAACCGAATAATGACTGTTATTTTGTTTTTTTTTTTTTTTTTTTTTTTTTTTTTTTTTTTTTTTTTTGGTTTTTTAAATTCTGAGTTCGGTGTTGGCTCTTTCCAGGAGAAGTTCTACAACTCCTAATCTACTCTTCCGTCGGGGTCTCATGTCCTCCTGTCTACGCATCAGCGTGTTTCTTTTTGGCTTACCACTCACTCATAGCGCTGGTCCTTACCGCGATGTTGCTTGCGATCAAGCTTGGAAAGTGAAAGAAGCTGCATTTGGATGGAATAACTGTGTCTCTAATATTCTCTTTCAATAGAATGATATCACTGCCGTCTACTAGCCTACTCTCGTACCATATGATATCCCTATGAAATCCCCTTCTTTTCCCAAGCTTCACTGTCCAAAATATTTCATACTTGGATCCCGCACCCTCCTTTTTTTTGCTGGCTGTTTGTCAACAATAACATTCCTTGTGTTATTGCATTTCATGTGTTGTGAAGGGCTGCTGCCACTCATTCACCAGCAATTGAGCTCGGAACCATCTCCAAGTTCCCACCGTGAATGAATGCCTCTCTGATCGAGAATCGGTATAACACAGCACACGTTTATTTTACCTCCCACTTTTCTATACACGAAATGTATAGAGATATCTCTATTTTTACATCTTGAAGGTACTTATACCTCTCTTTCAGATGCCTCCAACGCAGCTAACCCTTTCTCACTTGCCCCTGACATCTCTTGAAAAGCCCCAGAAAGCCCTTAATCCAACCCCTCTCACATACAGACATGCAAAGTCCAGCCGCTGTATACCTTCAAGAACTGCGTATCGCCATCAGAGAACAGCTCAAGTCCCCAACACATCTCTTCCCCATTGTCCCGCCTCGATTTGCCAGCGCCATCGAATTAGTCCTTGAGGCAGCGGGCAAATGCTTCCTTGATTTCCGGGTTATACAAGCCGTGTATCACAAGCGCCACTACTACACCTGCTCCAGAAGAGACCCCATACACTATAACGAACACATAAGCACCATCAGCCGCCTCTTCCAATGGAAAGCCCAGTATCCCGGGCCCAACAACCCAAACTTACTCCCCACAGCAAAGCTGCCCTGCCACGCGGTCCAGCTACACCCGGATAAGCGCGAGTATGAGGTATTAATCACGCGTGTTGGAGAAATGAAGCATCTCTTTGTGACCGTGACGTATCTGGCTTGGTGTAATGCGAAGAGGAATCTGGATCATTTGATTGCCAGTGCGTTTGTCTGGCTGCCGCAGTCGGAGGAGCTGATGATTCGGAGTTGGTGGGAGGGGTTTCTCCGGCAGATACCGCCGTGGGAGGACATGTTGGAGAGCATTCAGTTGCCGGAGTGGGAGGTTGTTATTGGGGATTTGGAGAGGAAGATTACGGAGGTTGTGGATTTGGAGGGGGAGTGGGAGCGGTTATGTTGAAGATTTTCTTTTGGTTCTCTCGTAAGGCTTTGTTTTTTTGGGTTGGAGAAAGGAGTTTACTTTTTTTTCCTTTGTTCGTTCTGCTTTTCATCTTTGTTTTGAAGCTCTTGTTCATGGGCTTTAACTTCAGATAAACCGTGCGTCATAGCTAACGGCTGGCATTTGGTCATGATTCGGGGGTTGGTTTTGAAAGGCGCATTTCGAGTAGGATATTCGTCGGGCAATGGCAGGGAACTAGATATCATATGAGGTGTTCTAAGGGAGGGGGTTTTAGCGGAATGGCATTGAATCTCCTTTTTCCTTTCTCTTTTAACGCGACAGAGAACAACAATACATCGATCGCGGGAAAGGGGGTTGGTAGACGCTTGCGTGTTTGCATATTTCAACTGCTTGACACCATAGATGTGCTTGCCAATCACAACGCGGTGACCATTTCTCCTTTCTTTGTCCATGTTTTCTTCCCATCGGATTTCTGTTCCCTATCTATTTGTAGCACGTTAGGCTCAGGCGACTCATACGATTGCGGGGAGTGGTGATGGGGAGAGAAGTGCGTTGGAGCTTTGCTTTAAGGGAGTTTTTGGTCGCAGAATCGATCCGATTGAGCAAAGTTGATTTGTGTCTGCGGGAAGAAACTGTTAAGGAGAGAGCTCACAGCAGACCTCTCACGTATCGTCTAACCTTTGATAGTCGCTACCTTTGTCCTCATTGCTTTGATAATTTGAATACCTTACTGCCAAGGGGAATATGTTTTGTATTTTTCCGATATCTTCTTGAGGGGAGCTGCTGCTGTTCTGCAGAGTACACCTGCATAGATATTCAGCGCATGTTTCAATATCATTTCACAAGCGCAGGTACACGCACATACACTCGCTCTCTCTCCCACTCAAAACATTCCATAAAGATAACTGCCATCCCTAATTACTGTGTCAAAACGGCCATTATATTTTCCTGTCTTGGCACAAGATGGAGGATGTAGATGAAAAGGATGAAGACGATGTGGTTACATATACCTGGTAGAACTCCATGTGCAGGAGGGAAAAGGCAGGAAGAAAGAGAAGAAAAGAAAAGAAAAGAAAAGAAAAGAAAAGAAAAGAAAAGAAAACGAGGCGGATGTGAATTTCTCTCAAGCTTTGACAGATGATATACTGATTCCAATAGTACGCGGCAGAGATTCCTAAGGAACAAGTGATGTAAACAAACAACAAAAAGCTCCCCAAACCTTGATAGAATGAGATACAAAGGATGGTCCTAGTCCACGCCGCTGATGCTCGTAGTAAGTCGCTCCAGCCTCGACGTGATTGCATCGATGACGGC